CTCCAGCACCCAGGGCTGCATCGGGGTAGGTCCATGTGGCTTCTCCTCAGGGATGTCTTGCAAGAAGTGAGCCTTGCCAGCTAAAGCAGGGAACTGGCTAAGGTAGCTGCAACCTGGTCCGACCATCAGAAAGCAAGAGATCCTAGAACTCGAAAGACGAGGCTCACTGAGCCATTTATCCTTCCACCCTTCAATTAACCCCACATGTGTTCATCAGCCAGGTTGGCACAATAAACTAACTCCTTCACAGGGGATATTGCAAATCAGTAGAGAAACTGATTTCTCATCAATAAACAGTGCTAGGTCAATTGCTTTTAAAAAATAGAGGGGGAGGGAGATTATTGGTACAGTTGTGTATATGTGTGTATCTCCCACCCATAGGCTATATGTTCCAAACCATCAGTGGATGCCTGAAACCATGAATGGTACTGAACCCTTTATTTACTGTTGGGTTTTCCTCCATACATACATGAGTTAAATCAAGAGAAACCCCACTGCCATTTAGTCACTCTGACTCTGCGTAGAGTTTCCAAAAGTACATCTTTGTAGGAGCAGACAGCCTACCTTTTTCTCTTGGAGAAAAGAGTGAGCTTGAACCACTGATCTTGGGGATACCACACAGTGCTTATCCACAGTACACCAGAGCACCTTTAAAGTTTAATTTATAAATCTTGGGTAATAGGAAGAGCGTAACAATAATTGTAAAATTGAACCCTTTTAAAGTAAAATCCAGGTAACTTGAACACAAGCACTGCAGTACTGGGACAGGCAATCTGATAGCTGAGCCCACTGGCTACACGGTGACTAACAAACAGGTAGCGTAGAGTGGAGGGGACAGCTTGAGAGAATCCATCATGGTTCTCAGAACTGCACACAGCTTCACACTTGACAAGTGTTTATTTCTGGAATTTTCCATTGACTGTTTTGGACCACAGGAAACTGAAACTGTAGAAAGTGAAATGATTGATAAGGGAGGACAACAATTCTTTTTCAAACTTTTTCTCAACCAGGACACAACAGATACATGAAGAAAACATGTAATTAGATCAGCTCTGTAAAGATGTCCATAAATTACAAGAAAACATGTAATTAGACCAGCTCTGTAAAGATGTCCATAAAGGCAATGCCTGCCACTTAAGAGGATGCGTAATAAGTGGTTGTTGAGTGAATGAAGTTTTAACGCATACAGTAAGATCTGATTACAGTATTTGCCAAATCATAAATTTTGAGGCATTTCATTCCTGCTTGGCTAGTACTGCAGTTTTTAAACTTGTGTACAGAAGTTTGTTTTTATATAGAGGAGTACAAATTTTTAATAACTATTACTCCTTAAAATTCATATTTCGTTTCATTCAGATAGAATTGTATTATGTCTTCAAATAGTGTGATTAAAATCATCAAGCCTTTAATTCAGTAATTTCTCCAAGTTGCTAATCATATGTTCTCAGCTTACAGTCAGAAGCTTGGGAAGTTGTAGTATTCCTTCCTCACCAACATTGCTCCTCTTTAATTTGTCAGTCACTGTGTCTAAATGACAAACTTGCTCAGAGCTCCTTAAAAGGGTTCCTTTTTCACCACAAACGAGCCAGCTGCATAGAAACCTGGGTGCTGCCGAGATTTGGAAGGAAGTGGATTTCCTTAAGTGCCAAGTCCTTACAAATACAAAGTCTATTAATGTGCTGATCGCTAAAGAGAATGATGAAGGGGATTTTTCTATGTAGCACGATCTATGACTTCTCTGCTCTCATTTGTTCAAAACTAAAAAGTAGCCCTTATCTGTCATTTTCCCCTTTTATAGTGACCATCAGAAGTTAGAAGAAAAAATAGAAAGTATTAAGAGAAATCTTGGTGTGGCATTAGGGCGACAGAATGGTTATGAAGCAGAAATTATCAGTTTAAAGAAAGAGCTACGAGGCCCTCTGTTTCTGGACGCTGAGGAAAAGTACAGGGAAATGATGATTGTGATGAGAACCACAGAGCTTGCAAACAAGGATCTGGACATTTACTATAAGACCTTGGACCAGTAAGTATTAAACTGGGGGTTTGGTTTCCGTTGCTGTGATTATCATTCCCTCCCCCCTTATTTTTAAATATATTTCATATGTACTAAAGAATGGACAAAACGTATGAAGTTGCATGTACACGCACACATGCTTGGCTGAGTACAAGGCATAATACTGAAGGCATGCTCATGTTCCCTCCCTCCATACCCAACCCTGGAATTCTACCACTAGCACTAGCTGGCACCCACCAGGATGCTCTCCTGCATCACAGCTCTCTTCCCCATCCACTGACAGATGTTTTGCTCTTTGCTTTTTAAAAACAGTAATTTTACCAGATAATATGTATGTTGTTCTTTGAGCTTTCAGAAAAAAATGGTATCATACCCTGTGTAGTCTTCTAGGATTTGCCTTGGTTTTATTTTTGTTTTATCCATGTTGCCTGTACCTATAATTCATTCATTTCACACATAGATGTACAAAATTCTGTGTGAATATGCCACAAATACATCCATTCTCTTATAGGTGGACATGTGATTTCCATATCTTGATTATGTAAACCTTGCTGCTAAGAACATTTTGCTATATGTTAGGAAGCAAATATATAAGAAATACTCTAAAGCGTTGGTTCTCAACCTTCCTAAAGCCACGACCCTTTAATACAGCTCCTCATGTTGTTGTGACCCCCAACCATAAAATTATTTTCGTTGCCATTTCAGAACTGTCATTTTGCTACTGTTATGAATCGTAATGTAAACATCTGAAATACAGGATGTATTTTCATTGTTACAAATTGAACAAAATGAAAGCATAGTGATGAATCACAAAAACAATATGTAATTATATATTGTGAAATATTCTAATTATAAATAAATGAAATTTGGTCTTAAAGCATGGTGTAGCATGGGTCAGTCTTCACGCCGGGTACTTGTATGTGGGAGTATCTGCATGTGGGCAGATCCGCCTGGAGACAGATAGAAGAGTGGTTTTGTGGGTGGTATCTGGGTTCCTACGCCCATCGGAAATATGTTTTCCGATGGTCTCAGGCGCCCCTGTGAAAGGGTCATTCGACCCCTCCAATGGGGTCATGACCCACAGGTTGAGAACGCTGCTCTAGAGTATATATGTATGAGTAGTTTCTGGGTTGTAACCTATGCTAATTTTGCAAAGTAATGTTAAGGCTTATCTTAAATTATTTTCCTAAGTTAATTGTGTTAGTAGGGTTGTCTAGAGAAACAAAACAAGCGACACCCGTATATATGTAAGAAGAGCTTATATCATGAAGGCACACCTGCCCAGTCCAACTGAAGCCCATGAGTTCAATGCTAGCCAGAGCCCTCTTCAGACTCACGTAGTTGCAGACCAGTGACACAGAAAAGAAAGGTGAGGTGGGATGCCGAAGATCACAGGCCAGTGGGTACAGAATCTCATGGATTCACGGTCAGTGAAAACATGTCAGGGCACCAGCAGCTCTGAGTCCCAACAAGCAGGAAGGTGAAGGAGCAGAAAGGCAAAAAAAAGAAGGAATTTTCCCAGTATAAAAAGACCACACCTCCCAGGAGGCATCATCAAACTATGATCTGCTTGACAGGTTGGATGCCACACACATTTACACCAGTAACAATATATGAGGGAGCTTCAAAAATTTATGGAGAAATGGAATTAAACGACAATGGAATATTTCCACAAACTTTTTAAAATCCCCATATGTAAGATTTTTAAAAATTTTATTAAGAGATAATTTTTTGGAGGTTCTTACACTTCTTATAACAACTCATACATCAATTGTATTAAGCATATTAGTACATATGTTGCCATCATTATTTTCTAAGCATTTACTTTCTATTGAGTCCTTGGTATCAGCGCCTCTTCCCCGCCCCCCCACTCCTAACCCTTTATAAATTATAAATTATTATTATTTTCATATCTTAACACCGATGTCTTCCCCCACGGTTTCTGTTGTTCATCCCCCTGGTGGGGTTGTGTGGTGATGTGTTGATCATTGCGATCAGTTCCCCTTTCCTCCTTCCTCTCCCACCTCCCCCTCCCTCCTGGTATCTCTATTCCCACTCCTGTTCCTGGGTTCTGTGTGTTGGGAGCTCTTCATCTTAAATCTGTACCTGTGCACATGCTCCAGTCTAGCCTTCAGTGAAAGGCAGAACTAGAATCCTGGTAGTGTGGGGTGAGGAAGCCTCAAGGAACCAGAGGAATATTGTGTTTCATCAGTGCTATGCTGCACCCCTTCTTTGTGACCTATCCGTGAGGGGATGGCCTATTGCCTACAGATGGATTTTGTATCTCTGCTCTGACCCCACACATTCTCAACCATACGGTTTGTTTGATACCTGTAACCCAATCCCATCGACACCTCATGATCTTAGGTTGGTGTGCTTCTTCCATGTGGTCTTGTTGCTTCTCTGCTAGATGGCTGCTTATATAACTTTAAGCCTTTAAGACACCAGGCGCTTTATCTTTTGGTATCCAGGCACCATCTGCTTTCTTCACATTTACTTATGCACCCATTTGTCTTCAGCGATTGTGCTCACGAGGGTGAGCATCTCAGATTGCCAATTTGTTAGAACAAAGTGTCCTTGCATTGAGGGAGGGTATAAGCAAAAGAGCCAAAGTCCATCCATTTCCTCAATGTATTGCCATGTAAATATATGTACATAGGCCAATACCTCTATGTATATAGATTAATGTATTTACATATGAGCATACCACTGCTTATACGTCGATAGCTTTGCTTCCTAGATCATTCCTTTGTTTCCTTTTACTTTCCTTCTGCCCCACAATCATGCTCTCCCTACTTCTGCCTCCTAGTACTTCCTCTCCTCTAGATTGCTCTTGCTCCAACACCCCCAGGATCTCTACGTCCTCCTTGTTGATTTTAATTCCCTAGTTGTTCCCCTGTGTAAGGCATTGTTTGCTCACCTCTTCCTTTCCCCATCTCCGCCCCACAAGTCCCTCTGGAATCGTTGGTCCTGTTGCTTTCTCCTTGATCTTGCTTCCCGTGCCTATCTTATATAAGTAAGCAAACCACAATATCAGAGACCAAGCAAAAAGAAAACAAAAGATTGAATAAAAAGGGGGAAAAAGATAATAACTCATGAAAAAAAAAAAAGCAAAGCATTGACTATTGATGTTGGCTGTTGCCTTTTCGTGGATAGCTTGTATATTATCGTGTGACTCTTATCCTTTTTCTTATCAATGTGGTGTATAATATTCATGGATTTTTGAATGTTAAACCATCCCTGCATCCTTGGATGAATCCCACCTTATCATGTTAGATGATATGTTTTATATACTTTTGTATTCTGTTGGCTAATATTTTGTTAAGGATTTTTGCATCTATGTTCATTAGAGATATCGGTCTGTAGTTCTTTATACCCTGTTTCCCCGAAAATAAGACCTACATACAGTTTTGCTTCTCGCTGAAATATAAGGTATCCCCCCCCCCCGAAAATTAGACCTCCCGAAAATAAGGCCCCTGAAACTACCGTAACTGGACTACAGCGGGCACCATCACGCAGCTCACTGTTGGCTGCAGTACAGCCGGAGCAGACAGGAAGTGCGAGGTCTCTTTTAATAAAACAATAAACAATAAATGTGTACCATATTCTTCTTCATGGAAAAATAAGACATCCCATGAAAATAAGACCTAGCACATCTTTGGGAGCAAAAATTAATATAAGACACTGTCTTATTTTCGGGGAAACAGGGTAGCGGTGGGATCTTTGCCCTGTTTGGGTATCAAAGTTATACAGGCTTTGTAGAATGAGTTTGGGAGTTTGCCATTCTTTTTCTATGCTCTGTAATAATTTTTGGAGGATCAGTGTCAGCTCTTCCCTGAATGCTTTGGTAGAATCCACCTGTGAATCCATCTGGTCCAGGAGCTTTTAGTTTGGTAGTTTCTTGATACCCAATCTATTTACACTTTTGCTATGGGTCTGTTGAGGTTCTTGACCGCTATCTGGGATACGTAGGGAGGGATTGTTTTTTCAAGTATTCGTCCATGTCTTCCACATTGTTGAATTCATTGGAGTATAGACTTGCATAGTACTTTGTGATTATCCTTTTAATCTTGTTGCGGTCCATCGTGATTTCCTGTTTCATCCCTCCTCCTGGCTATTGATATTTGCGCCTGCCTTTCTTTGGTTAGGTTTGCCAGCAGTCTGTTGATTCTGTTGATCCTTTGAAAGAACTAGTTTTCTGCTGCATTGATTTTTTGCAATGTTCTCTTGTCTTCCCACTGGTTTAACTCTGCCATAATTTTTATTATTTCTTTTCTTATGCTATTGGAAGGGGTTCTGTTGTTTTACTTTCTTTCCGATTTTCCTCGAGATTGCTGGTATGATTCTCCACCTCTTCTAGTCTGATGGTGACATCTTGTGTTTTGCTTCTTACCTCATCCATTAGCTCTTGTATTTCCCTTTGCGTGGACTTCATCTCCTCCATCGCAGACTTCACCTCCTCTATCATTGCATCCTTACTCTGCATTGCTTCTCTAATATTCTGTATTACTCCACACAGCCTTCTGAAGATTTCTTTTTGTGGCAGATCCACGTCTAATTCTCTGAATGTTAGCTCCATGGTTGAGTTGTTTTTTTTCTTGTTTTCTTGTTGAGGGTGTTGCGGTATGTTGCTGTTTGTGTGTTATTTTTGAAGAACTGGGCACTGTGCTACTGGGAGACCAGGGGGCCCTGAGCTCTTTCCCTGTGTGACTGTTAAGAGTTTTTTTTGAGGACTACCTGTGGACTACTATGGTGGTGGGTTAGACTGTAGTGTAGGCAGAATACTGAGGCAACTCAGTGGCTGGCGGCAGTGCAGGGTTGAGTCTGGGTTGAGGCTGTTGACTGTAGGTATGCCAATGGGCCAGGTTGGGACAGGCCTGCAGCATGGGTGAGGGTCTAGTCTGGACCATCAGGCCACAATTTGCAGTCTTTTAAAGACACTCTGTGGGGCTCCAAACTTGTAGAACATGTTAGCTTTTCCTATTTTATTATTTTAAAAACTGTAGGCA